TCCAAATGGGTTGATATTAACAGGGGTCAAGTGTATTACTGAAGGTCCGTAGAATTAATAAAATATTCGAGAAAAATTATGTAAAGTCATATAACTCCATGTAGTTTTTATGTAGAAAAAAGTTCGTGATGTGCGCGAAAATACGGTAGCTAATTCTGTTATTCTAAAAATATTTTTAATTGTACTTAAATAATTAAATACGTGCATTAGGAACTGCACTAGTTGGTGGTCCTTCTAATGAGGAAATTCATCTTGTGGGAGGTGTTCAACAAAATCTCACCCTACTTGATCAGATAGATCGTAATGCAACAATAACTTCAAATCAGACATTAATGATAAATGAATTTCTTAAAACTTGGAATTCAACAAATCAAACACTTTTTATTTACCGATCAACTGCACGAATTTGGATGACTCCTGAATCTGTCGCAAATGATAATGCACCAACAATTAGACGTAGATCAACTTCAACGGTTATATCGAAAGGAATTATATATATGTTTGGTGGGCGTGTTGAAGTAGATACGGGTTCACCCACATTTCTTTGCTTTAACGATCTATACACTTATGACACAATTTTGTCAAGGTGGAATAAGATTGATGCCAACAATGTTCCTACACCTCGAAGTCATAGCGCACCAGTATTACTTCCAGACGGTAAGATCCTTTATATCGGAGGCGGTAGTCAGGCTGCTCCTGGAAAAGATGTAACACCAATAGATATGAAAATTGTAAGTTTTTTTTGTGTCAAAATTTTCGGGTATACCAAAAATTGCTTTTGAGACAATTTTTTTTATATGTCGACTTTTTTCTTTATATGTTGACAAAAATTTATTTATTAACTCTTATTACAGATCCCAGTATTCGATACAATTTCTTCAACCTGGTCGACTGAAGTATGTATTTGACTTTTTTTCCTTTTTCCTTTTTTTAGTAATTAATTATCGCATTTTCTTTTTTCCTAACAATATAATTATTATATTGTGTTAATAGAATGCGGACTTTGGCTCAATTTTAATTCAACCTCGAACAGGTCATACGGCCAACTTGACGCCAGATAATAAGTCAATTATAATAATTGGCGGGACATCAAGTAAATTATCAATAAAAAAATTTTTTAAATAAATTTTGTATTAATTATACTAATTATTTCCTAATTTAAGGCTATGTGCGGAATGAAACTGCTGCAAAACCCGATATGATTTTGTTAGACATATCGAAAAAACCTTATACATATTCTGAACTAAATGTCCCGGGTGTCAAGCCACCATCATTGGCCTTTCATACAGTTACTTCCTATCAAAATTATATGTTCGTGGCATTTGGTAAAAATCAAACTTTTATCATTATTATTATTTGTATATTTATTTATTATAAATAAAATTAATATTCGTCTTTTTTTTTAAAAGGGAATATTACTAACGATATTGGTCCATCGGTCGAGACAAATGGACTCATTTATATATTAGATATGAAAATGCCATGCATAACCTGGACGAGTAATTTCAACCCTGGCCAATCATTGTGTCATGTATCATATACAAAATACAATGTTATTATAGCTCTTGTGTGTCTTATCTCAATAGAATTCGCGGGTATACTATTAGATTACGTACTCAGAAGCAAAGGCTGCTGCGATTGGAATTGGCAATACTTTATAACACCGAAAATTCCTCGAGAAGTATTTTTAATATTTATTTGGATTCTTATGATTGCTGAAGCAGTGGTGACCATAATTATTTGGTGTAGACTTTACCCAGAATATGAAATGTTTACTTATACACTTTAAAATTATCTGATTGTAAAACAACAGAATTCTTTATTATGATATTTAGCTTTATTTTTCTCGAATATTTTATTAATTCTACGGACCTTCAGTAATACACTTGACCCCTGTTAATATCAACCCATTTGGA